AAACCCTAACAACCCACAACCCACAACCCTAAACCCTGAAACCCCAAAACCCCAAACCCTAAACCCAAAGCCCTAGAGGAAAACCTCGGTTTTAGTGTGGAGCTGCGGAAAAGAACACAACAAACTTGCCTCTCCGTGCGCACTGCGCCACAAGTGAAGGAAACTACAGGTGGGGAGTTTGGGGTTTAGGGTTTAGGGTTTAGGGTTTAGGGTGGGGAGTTTAGGGTATTTAGGGCTTCTATAAGGCTTCTACAAGGTGTATAGACCTTCTATAAGGCTCCTATAACGATAACTACCCACATGAACATGTCCTAGACACACAGCAGATGCTGAATCCGAAACCCTAAAACAGCCCTAAACTCTAAAACCTAAACCCTAAACCCTACACCCTAAACCCGTTGCAGCCCAAAACCGACTCTAGCGGAAAAGGAACCTGATTCATACAACCGTGGAGGTAGAGTTAGGGTTCCGGGTAGGGTTTAGGGTTTAGGGTTTAGGGTTTTAGGGTTTCAGGGTTTAGGGTTTAGGGTGTAGGGTTCCGGGTTTCGGGTTCAAGGTTCAGGTTTTATAGCTTCGGGTTCAGGGTTCGATTCATGGCTACTAGGGGTTAGGCATGTGCAAGTCCACATGCATGCACACTAAAATCAGGAAATTGAGTTACCCCCACTATGAAAAAGTACCCTGCACAAAACCCCCAATAGTCAGGAAATCAAACTATGTTTACCATATGTCCAACTTCTGATACCTCGTAACCTTGAAGCGCCCCGTTTACCCCAAGCCCTATCCGCCCAGTATTCCGCTTCTCTTGCCCCAGTGGCGGTACCGCTGCCGTCAATGGTCGGGGCAGACCAGTGCGCTGGTGCGCAAATTTGCTGGATGCCTTCATGGGCCGGGTTTCGGGTTCGGGGTTCAGGGTTCTTAAGGCTTTAGGATTTGGGGTTCTTAAGGGTTTAGGGTTTGGGGTTCAGGGTTTAGGGTTCAGGGTTCTTCCGGGTTTAGGGTTTGGGGTTCAGAGTTCTTGAAGCGTTTGGGGTTCAGGGTTTAGGGTTCAGGGTTTAGGGTTCAGAAGGATTCGGGCAGGTTTCTGTGGACTCTCAACGCCTTAGGTACGAAATCAGCCTTCCGTCATGTTATGAAACTCCCTGCACGATTGTAGTACGTCGCTCTCTACAGTAAAAGTCCAAAACTTGGAAACCCAACAGCCTCAATCCTTAAGAGTAATGTACAAGGAACCCCAGCAATAGTTGTCTGTAATCCGGTTTCCAACTTTCTGGGGTTCACTGTAGGGATCCTTAGGGACATATACCTTAACCTACCAAAACCTACATTTTTGTAGGTTCTTATTATAAACCCTAATATGGAATTTATACGGACCCTACAAAAAAGTAGGTTTTGGTAGGTTAAGGTACCCTTAATCCCCAAGCCCCATGCTAAGCGCCGGCCAGGATAAGCCCTGACTCAGCAAAGCCCCAGAACCGCTGAGCCCTAAACCCTTGGGTTTAGGGTTTAGGGGTTTAGGGGTTTAGGGTTTATGGTTTAGGGGTTTAGGGGTTTAGGGTTTAGGGTTTAGGGTTGAGGGTTTAGGGGTCTAGGGTTTAAGGGTTTAGGGTGTAGCGCCTACTACACGCAACTCGATACCCTGCCTTCCGTCGTGCGGTCTATGAGGCCCTCCAAATCGCCTGCGGCCTCTGCAGATGTTGGAATCCGATGGCAAGCGATGTAAGCTTTGGGGCTTTAGGGTTTCAGGGTGTAGGGTTTAGAGTTTTAGGGTTTAGGGCCTTAGGGTTTTAGGGCTTTAGGGTTTTAGGGTTTATGGTGTTAAGGTTTTAGGGTTTATAGTGTTTGTTGGCTGATGCAAAGGTTGAGGGGTTTGGGGGCGGGGCTTGGGAACTAATCTAACTAAGTTCATCATGCGAATGTGCGGGAAGATTGAAGTGTAGCATGCGGCACTGCCTCATCATCTTAAGCGGTTGGAATTAAGAAGGAGCTAGCAAAGAACCAGCATTTTCAACCCCAACACAGGAGGCTACACACGGACTCACGAAACACCTGCACGAACAGCAACACACTACTACAAGAGTTCCAAACAAGACAACTTCAAGAACCAATCGGCAAGGCAATACAAGCAGTAAGATCATGCTACTCGGATACGAGGCACAGCCTTTTACTAATAACCCCATAGGATAAGCTCAGCAACACCCCAAAAGAGCCCGAGCAGCCTCAACTGAAGACAATCATGTAGATTTCTGATAAGATATTCCTACAACATTCCTGAACCCCATAGAGTCTTCTACAAACCTATCTAACCTCTACTACACAATGCGGAAACCATAGATGGTAATGTAGGGGCCTTCATAATTAGAATAGGGTTTGGGTGGGCTCCTTATTATAATGATAGTATAATACACCCCAAAGAATAGGGTTTGGGTGGGCTCCTTATTATAATGATAGTATAATATACCCCATACCCTATTCTAATTATTAAACCCTAAACCCTAAACCCTAAACCCTAAACCCATACCCTATTCTAATCATCAAGGCACATGTATTATGGCACCGGCAATTTACGCGCCAGACCCCTGCTTCGCCTGGTTGAGAGGCGAGGTGTAGTTCTCGGTGTTGAACCTGAATAACAAGAAAAGTTTATGGGGTTTTGGGGGTTTAGGGTTTTGGGGTTCAGGGTTTTGGGTTTTAGGGTTTTGGGGTTTAGGGTACTGGGGTTTAGGGTTTTGGGGTTTAGGGTTTTGGGGTTTTGGGTTTTGGGGGTT